ATGGCGGCATACAATATGAGCCTATGGAACAACAAGCTCAACAAGGTCTTGCATAGACATCCTAGTAATTCATAAGATTTATTATTATTTATAGTACCATATTTTATAAGACCATTTACCTTACCAGGTCACCATTTATCATGCTGGGTCACGGTTAATCATGAACTTAGGTGGCCAGGGGGTAACACAAAGTTCGACAAAAAATTAATGGTAAATTTATTAAATTACTCACGAGCGTTTACACTAACATTTTAAATTTTTTAATAAATTTCAAAAGGAAAAAGTTTATATAAGGTTACAACATTAAAATGTAGAAGGAAAGATGCACCTCAAAAACCTATCAGAAAAAGTTGTTTTAATGTTGAAAAACCATCTAATTGATCATGTCGAGATTGATGAATATGAAGAAAAAAATATTTTGAGTCTCCGAAATAATGCATCTTGCAACACATTATCTAGACCATCCATTTTCAAGATATTTATATGTTTATAGATCTACTTAATTTTAACTATTTTTGGAGTTTAAAATTCTATAATTAGATATGAAAATAGATTTTCCGATAATCTTAAGAATTCTTTACATCAAAATTACATGTTACGATAAAATTTAGAGGTGTGGCTTAATTGGATTGTTTAAGGTTGCAACCTTATAGAAACCACACCCATTTTAAAATACCCCCAAAAATAACACTTGTCTTGAGTTTGAATAGTTCCTTGAGTGTAAATTATTAAATAGTTCATCTCCCAACCATCAAATTCTATATCCAGCGGCTACCAATGATCGTGAGTTCTTGTGTAAATAATTTGACTGTATTTCACCTTATTTATAAGATGTTGGAAGCAAAGAAAATTTGTGGTTTAACAATAACTCAAAGTGGATTGCTCCTTTAAAAGCAATCTTGGGTCAAAACATTATTTATCCCAAGAGAGCAGAGCTTCCTTGCCTTGTAGTCTTTTCTTATTGTTAGATTATTTTGATTTTTTAATTTCATGGATGGAGTTTCATGTCTCTTACTAGGAAATAATTTTGTTAAACAGGTAGGGCTGACCTGGCAGCCTGTTTAAGTCGACCAAGCAAGTCACCGGGCCATCCCGACCTAAGTTCAAGATTAGACCTTAAAAGTGGACCTGCCAGGTTGGGCCTAGGTCTAACTTTTGGGCATTAAAAATGGACCAGTGGGTTGGGCCCAAGTCCAGCAAACCTGGCCCCAACTAGGTCTGGATTTGGGTCTAGCTCAGACTTATCCAAGTTCGGGTTCCATACACTTGGACACAGCCTAGTTCAGGTCGCGTCCAAACCCAGCTATGTTGCATTCATGTTGGGGCCAACTATTAGAGCCTATTTATTAACATATGAACTTTAAAAATTTTAAGGCTAACGATTAAGACTTCAGTGGAATTTTCATCGGATTATGAGCATGGACGACTATAATTTTCCTTCATAATTTTATGAATCCTAGTGATATAGATCTTAATATGTTAAGTTTTTATGTTTTCAACTTTTCATTAGAAGATCATCATGGAATTATGACCCAGAAGGTTGTCAATTAAGAATAATGCAGTTTACACATGGGATAAAAAGATTGTCTAGAAATCCACGATTGGGTTCTAAGATTTTCAAAAAGTTAGCACTTGATCTTCCACTTCACATCTTGAACACTCAATATTTACACAGGGATTTTATAATTTCAGCAAAGTTAAGTCACATAGAGGTTAATATTGATTAAGCAAATGGATTGTATTAATTTGTTGGTAATAAGGACTTCACAATCACTTACACTCACAAACAGTAGATGTAAAATATGAAATCTTGAGCTTTGTAACAAATTTTAACAAAAAAGCTTTGGACTTTGAATTTAGTCAATGTCACAACCCCAACCACCTTATTTTATATCTAATTGCTCCAGTCGATTGTGACATCTTTGTATCAAAGATAAATAGACTTACGATACTTTTATTTGTAATTATGGCTTCATTGAGGAAATAGCCCTTTATAGATTAGAATGATAGACCTGGATTCATGTAACCGACTCCAAATAGTTTAAAAAAAAAGCTTAAATGACAATGATGATGATGATGCTTTTCATTGTAAAAAGTACTGGACATATATTTACTGAAAGGCACTGATATTTCAAGGCCTTGTCATAAGGGCAACCTTTCCATACTTCCCCTACTGTTAAAACTTATATGCTTCTCCTATCCAACAACCATTTTTAAATAGACGGTTGAGATTGCCCCAATCACATTGTCACGTCTTTATACTATTTTATTTTTAATTTTTTCTATAAAATATTTTGATGCCAAATTTTGGATGCCCACTCCTCTCTTAAACTTGCACCTAGAAAATATATATATATATATATATATATATATATATATATATATATATA